AATGGCGCGTTTCTCCTTTTCCTTCTCTATCATCTTCATCTTCTCTCTACTACTCGGCGTCGCGCTCACTAAAACCCTCAAACGTGACGGTAATTCTTCAGATCCTGCTTTCTATTTTTTTTATTTTATTTTTTTTACTTTTTATCTTCTTCGTCATTATTTTTAAGCTTGATGGTAATGGTGGTGGTTGATTTGCAGTGAAAGCTTTGAATGAGATAAAGGCGTCGCTAGGATGGAGAGTGGTGTACGCGTGGGTCGGAGACGATCCTTGCGGTGATGGTGATCTCCCTCCCTGGTCCGGTGTTACCTGCTCCACTCAGGGCGATTACAGAGTCGTAACGGAGCTGTAACCTTAAAATCCCTCCCGCCATTTTCTTTTCTTTATAGTGCCGTTGCTATTTGTGTGTTTTTTCTGTCTTCTGAAACACTTTCCTTTTGATTTACGCAGTGAAGTATACGCGGTGTCAATAGTCGGACCTTTCCCAACTGCAGTCACGAATCTGCTGGATCTCACAAGACTGTAAGACTATTCCCTTCTCATTCTTTGGCTTCAATCCTTATGATTGCGTGATGATTGAGCTGGTACTTTATGGATACACTAGAATTTAATTTAATTGCGTACATTAATATTGAAGCGGTTAATGATATTTCTGAATAAGAAACCTGAAAATAACTAGTTGTTTATTTCTTGGGTAACGTTTTTCTCATCCTATAATTACGAGTAGTTTGTCTTGTGCAAATCTGGTTACATTCTTGGTATATGTACATAAATTATTGTAGTATAAGAAAAAATAGATTTTTTTTTTATATCTTTCACTGGTAATTTATAGAATATATAATTAAATCACTTCTAGTTAATTATGGATGTTCTTCAACTATTTGAGATAATTCATTTGTTGCAAATAGAAAAAGGATCCTATTTCAGCTTGAAAATATCTTTTTTTTTTTTTTAACTGCTCCCTCTGCAAAGTAGAAGAACTAGTGAATGGGAAATAATCAAGCGAGGATGAAATAAAAGAAGTTCTTTTTAATGGAACATTTACATCAACATTATAAATTTTACTTTTTACTCTGCTTAATTCTTATCTTAACAGAACTGCAACATTCTTACTTTTTCATGGTTAAGTACAGAAGTCACATGAATTTGATGGTCAATTTACCTGTTTAAATGTTCGATGATAAAAATTTGTTGTTAATAGTCTTTATGAGTTCTACTTCATCCAGATGAAAAGAAGCAATTCGTAGTACCTGAGATGTTGGCTTTTGTATTAATGTGTGCATATTGCAGGGATCTGCATAATAACAAGTTGACTGGTCCAATTCCTCCTCAAATTGGAAGACTTAAGCGGCTTAAGATACTGTATATCTCTTTTTCCCCTTTAGTTTAAAGATCAAGAATTTGATATTGCATACTATGTTGTTAAATTGTATTATGTTTCTAATATTTCAGTTCTAAATGATACAATATATGTTAATTAAATGCTCTATTAATGATGGATTTGGCTTAACTTTCTTTTTTGGTTTCAATTAGTTGGTTTTGGTTTGTTTACAACTGTTTATATATATATATATATGTATTTATTTTTTAAAATCTGCTGTTGAGTTTAGTAATTTGAGGTGGAATAAGCTGCAAGATGTCCTCCCTCCCGAAATTGGTGAACTGAAGAGCCTAACTCATCTGTAAGTTATTTGATTTTTACCTAAAAGTAAGCAAATTTACATACTATTTTTTCCCACCTCGGATTAACAGTTATTTATAGAGCAAGAAAAAAATTTGTGCAGATATCTGAGTTTTAATAATTTCAAAGGTGAAATTCCTAAGGAGCTTGCGAATCTGCCAGATCTTCGTTATCTCTATCTACAGGAGAACCGTTTTACTGGACGAGTTCCAGCTGACTTGGGGACTTTGCAAAATCTTCGGCATTTGTAATTATTCATATACTCTTCAATATGTCCGATTTTACATAATAAAATTGGTACCTATGGAGCAAGACTTAATTGTTTGCATTATCTTTTGTTCACAGGGATGCTGGTAACAATCATTTGGTGGGTACTATAAGAGAGCTCATACGGATTGAGGGTTGCTTTCCAGCTCTTCGAAACCTGTATGTTAGTTCAGTCATTAAATCTGTGACCACTTCATAGCTAATATGGAAATCTCAATTCTGCATTGGATTTACTGGCAATTTTTAAGTAATATTAATTGTTCACTGTGTATGTAGTTACCTGAATAATAATTATTTGACTGGAGGAATTCCGGCTCAACTGGCAAACTTGACTAACCTGGAAATTTTGTACGTATTTTGAGATTCCTTTTGCATATATAAGTTAATCTTTACTTAGATAAACTTCTCTTTGCTTTTTGTTCAATCTCACTGCTTCTCGTTTTTGTCAATATTGTTAAACTTATTGCTTTCTGGGCTACAGGTATTTATCCTATAACAAAATGACTGGAATAATACCATCTGGACTTGCTCATATACCTAAACTGATTTACCTGTAAGTTTCTTCTTTCCCATTGAAACACAGTTTTATAGTTCTATCATAAGGTTTCCTGCTTCTAGAATGCTTTTATTACAATAGTACTGTAACACAGTTCTGCCTTGTATCTTTTCTAGAAATATATATAAAGTAGCTTCAACTTTACCAGTTTTTTACTCTTAGCATGACTAGAGAGAGTAAAATATTGATGGGAAAATTTCTCTAGTAAAGATGGAAACATCCGATAGAGGATATGGACAACATACTGTCACCACCTTCCAAAATTCATAGCACTCTTGTTAGTTTATTTGCTGTGTAAGACTTCTTTTTTTGCTGAAATCTGCTGAGCAGGACTCTTGAAACCTCAAATCTCCTTACTTTCTTCAAAACTGAATTCTATTTTCTAAATTTTAGTTGGCCAACCAAACAAGCGGAATGTGCTATCATTTTAAGCAATTCTCAAGTGAAGTTCAGGAGTAATTGCCTATTTATTTAACTTCCTAGTATGGGAAATAATCACCCGCATAATTTAAGTTTGTTAGCTGATATGTCTCTCTTAAGATCCTTTTTTGGATCACACAAGCATTTCGGAGATCTAGTCGGGGTTTTTATTTCTCTACATCCCATAACAAAATTTTTGGTAGAAAGAAAGGTATCATAGACGAGGCACCTTTTCCAATTCAAAGTATTCATAAGGTTTAAAGGATCCTTTCTGTTGAACATATGATGACCGATAACCCAAAAAGAAAAGGTTTCTTAACCAGAAATTCTTAACTTTAACTAGGAAAAAGTCTCTCTTCAGGAACTATTATGGCATGCAATGCACTTCCACTTTCAATTTTAAACATGTTGCTGTAGTTATGATAATATTACATTATAATCAAATATTGTTTTGCAGATATTTAGTAGTTCCAATAAGTTAGTGATTATACACAAGATATTAGCTAATTGCCATATGATGTTACTGAATTATTGTAAAGTAAAACATTAGTGAAAAAGGTGTTTAAATGATGCTCATTGTAGAAGTAAGTTTTTTTTTTTAAAAAATAATTTATATTTTTTATTTTTCACAAAAATAAATATAAAGGAGAAGTAACTGAACATGTTGACAAATAAAGGATTTTAAATCAGTGCATGAAAATTTAGGGGAGGTGCTTAGTATACCGTTTATTGTATTTCCAAATATGTACATTTGAACAGATTGCTGCTCAAAGCTGCTTAGAGATAACCAGTAAGCGAAGCTTAACACCCCTGAATAAATCTATTTCCTGCTTTCTTATACTCCTAGGTTTTTTTTTTTCTTTCATACGGTTCACAGAATAGAAAGTGGCATAAGCTAAAATTTTCCTTTCTTGTTGAGACATAGTTGCTCCCTGCAGTGTGGTAATTTCCTCCTGAATGGTACCTGCCACCATCAACTTCTTCTCAACAAAATTTAAGGCAACGTCCCTAGATTCCTTTCCTCCAAACCTATCCAAAAGAATTAAATTCTTATTCCATTATACACAAGTGTCCACTAACCTAATTTTTCATTCATTGGATTATCTAATGTTATTTTTAAAATATGACACCCAAAAGACTATAGCCACTCTGCTGGAACAAAATTTCCATGATCATTTTGCTAGCTGATAACTTTTGCATTTGTTTTTATGATGTTACATTTTTGCTCTTTCTTGTTGGGGGGAATAGTAGGTTTCTTCTACAAGTGGATTCTATTTGTAGTGCCATGTGGCATGCTTTAATCCAAGCAAACCTCTTTTCGAACAAGCTTTTTAACTTCTCTTTTAATGTGTCTCAGGTACTTGGATCACAACCAATTTACCGGAAGAATACCCGACGTCTTCTATAAACATCCATTCCTAAAGGAAATGTGAGTTTTTATTTTTATTCAGACCCAGGTACTTTGTGAATATTGATGAGATATGGCCTTTATTATTTGTTGAATGTTTTGGCACAGGTACATTGAAGGAAATGCATTCAGGCCTGGCGTAAATCCAATAGGTGTACACAAAGTACTTGAACTCTCCGATGTAGATTTCCTAGTATAATTTAGATATCAGTGTATTCTTTTTACGATTAGTGTTAACCATAAGAAGGTTTGCATTTGTTGGTTCAAATGGAAAATGTTCAGTTCTCTTTTCTAGTATCGTGATATTAGCATACTACATACTGGTTTGGTTTTGTTTTATTAATTGTTTCACTTAGATATTATTAGTCTCCAATCGGTTTGGTTCCCATCAATCCTTGTCTTAAAACTTCAATTTAATTACTTAGACATCAAGAATTTGATAATCATCTATTTTACTTCGAAGTCTTTAGTGATAGACTTCTAATTCGTTGTTAGTAAAATTAGAAATTCATTGAGAAAGGAGTAAAGATATCAAATGGATTTTTTCAGGTACCATCAACTAATTTTACATATCATGACATGAGAGCAATTTCCCAATGATCGTGGCCTGTCTTGTGCATGCTTGTTGAAATGCAAATTACTTTATTATGATGATTTCTGATTAATTTGTTTTTCATTTAGTATTACATATACAAGTTTTACAGGACCCAAAAAAAAAAAAGAAGTAGATAATTAATTTTAAAACTTGTAATTTCATATTTTAACTTGATTTTTTTTTTCTCTATTTCTTTTATTTATGTCATAATTTTTTTTTTCTCTTAATACTATGATTTATTTTATTTTTAATGTCATGATTTTTTTTTCTCTTCAATATTACTCCTCAAGCTGAGGAATAAATGTGTATATTCCCAATTTGCTAATAAGAATTTATAATATTGGGTTGCTTAAACATTTAATTAATACATCTACGAGTTGAGAATTGAAAGACATGTACAATATACATATTAAATAGTTGTCAAATTTTTGTTTTTTATTTTTATAAAATGTTTGTTAATTTTAATATGTTTGATTCGGTCATGGTGTACTGGATTGTAATGGATGTTTATAGTTGGTTTATTGTCATAGTATAGTTGTTTATAATTTTTTACTTAATTTTAAGATATTTTAGAATTCTATTTAAATATAATATTTTTATATATTTCTTTTATTACTGTTTCAAATTCAGATTTTACACTTTTATCTTATAAGTACATTTTGTTTTTTAGTTCTTCAAGTGACTAGATTGCCTCCAAGAAAAATATAGTAAGATATGGTAGATTTTCTATCTGCAATTGCCCCTACATAATCTACACCAACATAGGTTTTTAGGATAATATATCATTCTTCTTGATCATAATTCATTTCTTTGGTGATCTTTCTAAGTATTATATAGGCTGCTTATTGGTACATTTCTTTTGCATTGTGCATTAATTGACTTATAACACTTACTGCATGGACGATTTGGTCACATACATAATAGGTAAAATTATCTCCCAATTAATTCTTGATACATTTTTTACTATTCATATTTTTTTTATGAAGATTATTAAGAGTAGTAGTTGGTTTGTATTCTAGTATGCCAATATTTTTTAATAGATCATAAATGTATTTTTGTTGAGAAATAAAAATTTTACATTTATAACGAACAACTTCAATTTCTAAAAAATACTTCAACTTGCTTATTTTACTGAATTCTTTTATTAGATGTTTTAATATCTTTTGTTCATTTTCGTTATTTTTTATCATAAAAATATTATCGATGTATATTAGAAGAGTTATAACTCTCACTAACTCTAAATGTTTTATGCAAAGATTGTAGTCTACTTAATCTAATTTAAATATCAGATTTATCGTCGATAATTACTTATGTCTCACTATTCTTAAAGCGTAATGTTTGAGGAACGAATTATTGGTTAAATATGGTATTAGGCTGGTAGAAAGCCTGCATGATGCAGTTATTTACTAATAGAGGGATGAAAGAGGACCATATGTGTATTCAAAGGTTTGCTTAAACAATAAGTTGGTATGGTTTGATTGAATAATCTCAACAGCCGGTATGAGCAAAATTACTTTTCATTCACTCATCTTTTTTATAATAATTCAATCACATATTTTTTGCTTTAAAAAGAATTAAATTCCTCATGACCTAATAAAATGTTATATTAAATCTTTTTAAAAATTAAATAACTCAATACTTACCAATCAAAATTTAATAAATACATCTGAAAAATTATATTTAAAATCATTAGACCAATCCATGAAGTTCACCTTAAACCTTTACCAAGATAAGGGAACGGATCCCAAGAGAATATCCCCAACATGGAGCCATACTTGAGCTCTTCTTCTTTACCACCAAGCTCCTAGCCATCATCACCTCCTTGTATCTCTGGTTCTATTCCCATCAACCACCATGATCGTCCTCCTCTTCTCCCTCATTTCCCTCCTCCTTTCCCCTATCCAATCAGCAACCATCACACTATCCCCAAAAACCCTCAACAAATCCGGCGACTCAGTCCTCATTCGATGGTCCGGCGTCGACTCACCCTCCGAGCTCGATTGGCTCGGCATCTACTCACCCCCCAACTCACCTCACGACAACTTCATTGGCTACAAGTTCCTCTCCTCCTCACCCTCTTGGCAATCCGGGTCGGGCTCTATATCATTGCCTCTCACCAACCTCCGATCCAATTACTCCTTCCGGATCTTCCGTTGGACAGAGTCTGAGATCAACCCCAAGCATCAAGACCATGACCGCAACCCCCTACCCGGAACGCGCCATCTGCTGGCTCAATCGGACGAACTGACTTTCCGATCGCTTCACGGTCCGGAGCAGGTACATTTGGCATACACGGAGTCGTTAAGCGAGATGCGGGTTATGTTCGTGGCGGGGGATGGAGACAAGAGGTACGTGAGGTATGGTGAGAGGATCGGTGAGTGGCTTGACCTGGTGGTAGCACGTGTGGCGAGGTACGAGAGGGAGCACATGTGCGATTCTCCGGCCAACACGAGTCTCGGGTGGAGAGATCCCGGGTGGGTGTTTGATGCGGTGATGAAGAATCTGAAAGGAGGTTTAAGGTATTATTACCAGGTAATTGACGTTGGCAATTGGGTTTTGTCTTTTTATCTGAAAGGAGGTTGCTGGTATTACTCTTTGGTTTATTGGGTTCTACTGGTTTTATTGACGAATTGATAATTCTGTTCTACTTTATTTCTTTCTTTCTTTGGTTAAGAGTCATAATTATTTTTTGATGAGGTAATTTCTTCCTGTATCGTTTTGTTTGTTTTAGTTGTGCTCATCATTGTTTATATTCTTCTTTGAAATTTTTTACCAGCATAAACTATTTTGTTTTCTATAGTGGCGTTTTGTTATATGCTCATTCATTCATCCTTATCAATAGAGTTAGGTAGCTGTATCCATCTTCACTCGGAAAATTGCAATAGATTAAATTTCCTGCCTGAAAGATTCTCAAGGCAGCGTAAGGTTGTTACTTCATGGGGTGGGGGAGGGGTGGGGGGAGGAATCAAATTTTAACTAGAACGAAGGGCACATCGTATAAACAATGCATAAAAAATTTCATGTGGATAGCTCTGATTTTAGAGTGAAAGTTCTTTATATGACAGGTTGGTAGTGATTCTAAAGGTTGGACTTCAACCAACAGCTTTGTGTCACGAAGCGGAGATTCAGATGAAACCATAGCCTTCATGTTTGGGGACATGGGATGTTCAACACCATACTCAACCTTTGTTCGTACTCAAGATGAAAGCGAATCGACTATAAAGTGGATCCTTCGAGACATCAAAGCTCTGGGTGACAAGCCTGCTTTTGTTTCACATATTGGAGACATCAGCTATGCACGAGGTCATGCGTGGTTGTGGGATGAATTCTTTGCTCAGGTTGAACCTGTGGCTTCCAAGGTACCATACCATGTGTGCATTGGTAATCATGAGTATGATTGGCCTTCACAGCCTTGGCGACCTGAGTGGTCATACTCGGTATATGGGAAAGATGGTGGTGGTGAATGTGGGATACCCTACAGCCTTAAATTTAATATGCCTGGCAACTCCTCAGAACCAACTGGAACCTCTGCTCCAGCAACTCGAAACCTTTACTATTCGTTCGATATGGGAGCTGTACACTTCGTCTACATATCAACTGAGACCAATTTTCTTTTTGGAAGCAAGCAATATAACTTCATAAAGAAAGATTTAGAATCAGTTAATCGGACAAAGACTCCTTTTGTGGTAGTCCAAGGGCACAGACCAATGTACACTACGAGCAATGAAAACAGAGATGCCCCATTCAGAAAGCAAATGCTCGAGCACTTGGAACTTTTGTTCGTGAAAAACAATGTGACTCTAGCATTATGGGGTCATGTCCACAGATATGAGAGGTTTTGTCCGCTGAACAACTTCACCTGTGGAAGCATGGGGCTGAAGGGAGAGGAATGGAAGCAGTATCCAGTTCATGTTGTGATTGGGATGGCTGGACAGGACTGGCAACCCATTTGGGAACCTAGGCCAAACCATCCTGATGTCCCAATCTTCCCACAACCTGCACGATCTATTTACCGCACTGGCGAGTTTGGTTACACTAGGTTGATTGCTACAAAGGAAAAGCTTACTTTATCTTATGTAGGAAACCACGATGGAGAGGTGCATGATATGGTGGAAATTCTCGCTTCTGGACAAGTTCTTAATGGTGGTGATAGTATTAGTAGTGATAATAGCGGGAATGTTGATGTTGTAGTAGAGTCTGCATTTTCATGGTATGTCAAGGGAGTGAGTGTGCTGGTGCTGGGGGCATTTGTTGGTTATGTTCTTGGGTTTGTTTCTCGTGCCAGAAAAGAAGCTGCAGTGGATAGGAAATGGACTCCCGTGAAGAGTGAAGAAATATAACTGGATATCAGGTTCAAGAGTATTGTGCAAGATAAAAAATATACTTCACCTGAACCACAGATCTTTTGTGATGAAGCGACAAAGTAAGATGTTGTGATGATGATGCTTGCCCAACAGAGCAGACTAAGGAACTGGGATAAAATAGTATTTCTTAGTTTAATATGCTATGAAATCGTTGTATATATACGATTTTGCTGGTGTTCCTGTTTATTTTTCACCGTGAATCCGATTATTACGACGTGTTCCATCTTGGTTGAACTTGTTGTTTGCCAAAATAAGATGTCACTGTATGATGCTTGGTTCATACATCCCTTGTTACCAATAGTTCGTCAGTATACATATGATATTTGCTGAAGTGTTCTACTTGTAAAAAGACTGATGGGCGAAGTTAGTCTGAATTCATTTCAGGAATACTTAAAAGAAATGTATAACTATACTAATAAAATTACAGAATGATTCTATGACTCGCAACTATTTTGTGATGATAGTGATGAACTTTATTATCAGAGGAACCCATCATTTGCTTGATGAAATCATGACAAACCCCTGACACGAATAGGTCTGAAATCTGTTAATTTTAAGGCATACCTTAATTTTATATTCCTCTGATGTGCCAAGAAAGAGATTATAACTATAGAAGACACGAGGGAAGATGAAAATCAAATTAAAATACATTTTGAGGATAATCTCACATTATTACAAAAGGATGATAATTGTCACCAATGACAATACTAAACCAAAGAATTAAAAGAAGAAAGAAATACAAAAAAGAAAAAGAAAAAGAAGAAGAAGAAAAGAAAGTAAGAAGCATATAAAGCTTATATGAAGTTAAGTCAGTTTTGGTTACGAAATCCTTTTGTTTTTACTTGTTAAGTAAGTGGCGTGCATGTTGGTTGGCACCTTTCACTCTAGCATTCAGCTCATCAACGTCATCACTAAAGTGATCAAGAGCTTTGTTTTGCCTGCATATCATTGCCAATTACCCATGTCAGGGAGAGTTCTCTAAGATTTGAAAACTTTGAAACTTTAAAAACAAGAAAAAGAAAAAAGAGAAATCATTATAGGTTGTAGAACCTTTCGAACATGACCACTTAGCAAACACATTTTGAACAAATTTACCAGAATCTGGCATATAATATCAATAAAAGAATGCCACTAACCTGTCAATTTCAGATCCCATGTCAACAGCCATGCTTTTCAGATCACCCAATATATTACTTAAATCTGAAAATGCATCATCTTGTTTGTTTTTCTCTTGCTGGTTTCCATAGAGTAAAAGAAAAAGACAAATTAATCCAACAGTAAATATTCAGAAACCATCTGTCTGTAACTAGTTAACTACAGACCTCCACTTTCTGCAAGGCATTTGCTGGTTCTGGAGGAGGTGTCCGACTGGCAGAACCTGGTTTGGATTCGGGAGCCAAGCCCAACTTTTCCCTCTGCTCTGAATTATTTTGGTTCTTTTTCTTGCTTGAATTATCTGCCATGCCAAGACAAGATAACCACTATGTCAAATGCGAACACACTACGATAATGCATCACTCCCGATTAATGTTTATCCACTGTGTAGTAGATAACGAATAAATTACAAAGACAAAACAAACCTGATGTGATAAGCGGCCCTGTAATTTCTCGAGTCTTCTTTGGCTTCCAGGGCTTAGAGAACATGCCACCGAGATTGTTTAGAAGCTTCTCTCCCTGAGCTTATAAGATTCAAAAGGATGTTATCAATCACTATAAAATCCACTTCTTAAAAGTTAAAAGCACAAAGGACCATGGGACAAGAAACAGTGGAAATTCAAAAGAAGAAACTTCTTAAAACCTGGCCATGTGTAGGAAAAATTCATAACACAAGCAGACCCGTATTTTGTTAGAAAATAAAGAGAACTGAAAAAGAAAGCGTTTCTATATTTCTTTTATCACGAGTTGAAGATAGGTGTATAAACAAGTGTCTATAGCCTAAACATTGCAAGTCTATTAATCTCATAGTATAATGCTCAGAAAAATCTATTTCAGAAGCAACAATTCCTTCTCATGCTGCAAATTGTGCAAATCGTCTAATTCATCCAACATGATGAAACAGCACTTCTAGGTAAGTGAACGCATCATGACGAACGAGCAGTACTTATGCACATCTGTTTGCATTATGTAAGTGTTGATTCACTATATCTTACTCTTTCTTGATACAGCAAAATCCTCTGAATCCATCAATTGACCAATGCATACAGATAAATATTTATAGCCCTCATCATTTTCATAAGCATCACGATACCTGTTTTCTGTCGGATAAGCAAATGCTTAAACTCATCAAAAACCTATTTGAGGCATCGGAGGCACGAGGATAAACTTCTTAAAGATTGAATTCCACAAGTTCAAAACATCACTACAAAAATATATTTATCCTTTATAATGAATGGACAAACTAGTTCAAAGGCATATAAAGAAGTCACAAGTACTTTCCATTTCATAAGTAGAGAGAGGAACCAACCAGGATCAACACCTTAAAGATAATGAACATTGACATCTTATACGTTTTTATTAAAAATAGGAAAGAAAAAAATTTTATTGGGCGGAGAAAAGGGTTACCCGACTCAAATCCTTATCCGTCTCGGCAACCATCATGTGTGATCTCGTGATTTGCTCACCCTGTTGGTGCAACATGTCAAGAGTCTTTGTTGCATCCTCTTTGATGTTCTCGGCAATCCTCAGGCAGTTGTTAACAGTGCTAGTCGTCTCCTCGGCCTTGTATACAGCATAATTCTCTAGTTCTTGCACACTCTGGTTTTCTAGTCCTCCTGAATCACGGAAATCGTTATTGTATCTATCCGGAGTAACGAGCATAGGCTCGGAGGAAGTTCTTCTTGCTTGATTAAGAGTTTGCTTGTTGTCGGATTCAGTATCAGAATCAAAAGGGTTAGATGGGTCCACTGATTTCTGCTTGGAGACCTTATTGCCGGGTGATTTCATAAAACCAAACATTTTGAAAATGAGACAGGATTTTTTTTATCCCCTACAAAATTTTCCTTTGCCCAAGTTCAAATACCACGAAGAAAATGGTAGGATCAGAGTGATCTTCAACCGGGTTACCTAAAACATGAGCAACCACATCAATTAGGATGACAAGTACATCGAAGTTCCGAATATTTTCTGCTGGGTAGTAGAGTAAAATCAAGAAAAGAAGATAAAAAATAAAAAAACTAAACAAGCGAGCAGCAGAGGGAAATCTGGGCTTCGGTCAAAATGCAGAAAACTGGCAATTACAACGATGAAACGGAAACAGAATCATGGAGAACCGCCAAAATTGAATGGAAAATAAGAAATGGGTTTACCTGAGATTCGCGTGGAGTGGTTGGATTTGGCAAAACACGGAGAGGAATTTACCACACAAACCGGAAGCATCGAATGGAAGCGTAGGTTTGTAAAAACAGAAGTTGAAAGCGGGAAGATAGAGCACAGAGAGAGATGGAGGAAGAAGAAAGAGTTTTCTTAATCTGGTCGATGTTTGCTTTCAGGAATCAAACAGATGGTAGGCGCCGCGAAAATGGAGAAGAAAGGCTTAGCTGCCACAGATTGAACATTGTCGATCAGTTCCATTCCATTCAATCTCTGGCTAGACCGTTGGGTTGTTTGCCTTTTAATTTGAAAACTTCGTATAAGATCATGGCCCATGGAAAACCCACTAATTTGATGATTTCAAAATCACCAGACAAAGAAAGCAAATCTATTTTCGAATAGTGAATATTAATATCATATTTTACTTCTTTTTAGAAGAATATAAAAATGATGAGTTTTGGATTGTGTTTCATATACGTTGTTTATAATATTATATTCAACTTCAGACTGAGAGAATTAATTACATGTATATTAATTTTATATAATGTATTATTAACACTGTGGCTTAAAAACCCATTTGATTCTATTGATTTTTTTATGAATTTCTTGACTCTGTATTATGTTTACTTCTTTTTTTAGAATAAAATTTACATAAACGATGCTTGAAAATTGAATTTTCGTATATTTTTTATTTGTTAAGAAATTTACCAAATTCCTATGAAATTTTTGAAAATAAAATTTTTATGTAATTTATAATTATATAAATTTTTTAAAGTTTTAATGACATTTGGTCGTAATGCATGTGCTGCATTCAAGATATCACAGCAAAATCATATACCATAATAGATATACATCGATAATACACACAAATATTTAATGCATCGTACATAGTATATTATTATGATTAAATAATAAATTAGGTGTTACAATAAATATGTCATGCGCATGTATCACATATAATATAACACACAATAAAGCATGAAAACTCTTTATGTGGCACAGATTACAACACGTATCACAAAATTTGATTTTTCAAACTTAATTTGCATTTCATTCACAAAAGAAGTGTAAAAATTGTTGAAAAGAAAAGAAAAGAGAAGAAAATCTCAAGATAAAGCTCGAGGAGAAGACTTACATAGGCACATATTGGTGATTGGACCTCATAAATCGTGTTTGCACTCCCTTTTTTTCTTCTCTACTTATGTGTGTGAGTGTATACACACACACACACACACACATATATATACATAGACATATGTCAATTATACATTACTTCTTACACTATATGATGTGTATAGATGAATAAATATATAATCGTGATTAAAATGATGATGAACAATTTAGTAGCAAATGGAAGATGTCGTATCTCCAATTGCAAATCTCAAACTTGCAAAATTTCTATGCCCAAAAACTTCCTATTCATAAGCAAGCAAGCTCCCTCCTCCATAAATGCACTTACATGTGTGTGTGTGTGTGTGTGTGTATAGGTGGGCAGACACATGTACGTTGTGTAGAGTAGAATGGGTTGGCAACAAGTAATGATGTTAGTGGGCCTTAGGCCCTGTTAGAATTTCACAAGTATATCTATGACTCTTGTCTGTTTACGCGTAGCAAAACATCACTCTCAAATTTAATAATATTTATACTATCTATTGCCCACTAGCCCTACTTATATATTACAACTCATTTCAGCTTTTAATTAATTAATTAATTAACTAATCATAATCTTTTGGTTGAGATTTTATTTTGTACGACATATATAATATACATATCGATACTTGTCAACTTTCTTATTTATTATTGGATTAGTAAATAATTTTACATATTTTGGTAATTACTTATAACTTTTATATATACCCAATTTGCAAAATCGGTCTTCATTAATCATCATCATCCAATATTATTTTTTGAGAACAACCAAAGATTATTATTTTTACAAATATTATGTAAAATAGACTGTAAATTTGAGTTATCAATTTTACTATAAAAATTTTACACACATAAAGTATATGTTATATTAAATCAAAACTTACCAATAGACGTAAAATGCTATATTAAAAAATTTTTAATTTTTATTGGCTGAAAAATAAGGTAAGCTAATTAAATATCATCTAAATTAAAAATAAGAGTTGTAATTCACATATTAAACAAGAAACACCAATAATTTAATGTATTTAAAAACTTAAAAAGTATTACAAAAATATGTATAGTATAACTAGTTAATAATTTAAAAATATTTGTAAAAATACTAATCAAATAAAAATTAGTAAAAATTCAATTATAATTATATATATTATGTGTGTATATTTATTGAGTTTTTGAAAAGTTGCTTTTAGTGTCACCTTCATGAGTAGCTAGCCCTAAAAGTTTCCCTACCGCAACTAACCCAGCTTTTTCAAAATACACAAATAACATACATTATGTGATTCCTAAACTTATTGTTTGTGTTAATTATAATTCTAACTATTTGACTCCTCTGACTTTCAATCCTCTTTTTCTCTTTCATGCGTGAAGTTAGGCACGAGCATGATTGTATTCAAGCTTCAGCTGACCTCTCCGTAAAGTGAAGAAGACAGTTTCTGTACTCCTTGCAACCCTAGAATAAGTTTTGATTTTGTGACTAGGTAATTATCTCAAATTTATATATACAAGTATATTCAATATACAATTGGTTTGGGTTTTTATGGTATGGTATACAATAATTTTAAATAACCATCAATACGGCTGATTTAGTATTATTTTAAAATTATTTCGTATATTTTAAGATTGTAAATTTGAATTTTGTTACCAATAAAAACTCGTCACGAGAAAAAAATAAAAAAAAAATAAACCTAACATAATCAAAAACTAAAATTATACGGACTAAGTTAATTTGATTTAAAGACCCTAACCTTTTGAAGTGTCTTCGATTTCCATGTCTATGTTTTGAAGCTCTAATAATTGGACTTATTCTTTAATGGAAAAAAGAAGAAGAAGAAATTAGCAACATGACTTTTGCTATAAATGTTGTCATTCCACCATAAAATTATACAACATAAGCTATAACTAACGTTATTTAATTAATTATCACTACATTCTTAAATAAAATAAAATTAAAATTTAATAATTGCACGTTAAATACGTATGGAAAAATATTATATGGGTGTGAGTGGAGTATTTTTCTTTTTTTTGCTGTGTGTGTCAGAGGAGTAATTATATGCATTTATATGTATGTATGTGTGTGTGTGTGTGTGTGTGTGTATATATATATATATATATATAAGAAGAGTGGAAGTCGTTTTCATTTGATGGGCGGAGCATATGGGTTGTGATTTGTTGGAGAATCGTGGCATTGCGACCACTTAAATGCAATTATGAAAAATTACCAAAAACAGAAATTAAATTTATGCTAAAATAATTATAATTATAAAATTATAATTATAATGATGATCGAGGTTCAATGGATCTGCTTATGCTCCATGGCCCGCCATCTTCTTCATCGTATCTCTCTTTCAGTCTTTTTCTCTACACTATTTACTAGGTGTCGGCTGCTCTCTCTCTCTCTCTATATATATATATATATATATATAATTTAAAGTATTGTGATGAATTAAATATAATTTTATTTCAATGACTTAAAAGAATTTACCGCCAGTTCAGTACTTCAAATAATAACTTTGTTCGTTTGAGGACAGAAGCCCGAAAATCAAATTACTTAATTTTTTTAAGGTGCAAATTATCAAGAGTGTTTAGTAAATAATGAGGATTAATTATGATTCTAATGGAATATTATATATGTATACGGATTAGACAGCTAATAATACTCTTTCAACTACTAATTAATATTTCGTGCCCAATCAAATTTCTATTTTCTTTTGTCACGACTTACACAACCATGCATCTGCTTTTTTATGTCCTTGCATCATAATCATTGACCATGTGATATATCTCCCCTACCTAATTTATAACATTACGTTTCTCAAATATATATGATTGTTAATGCTTGTTTGTGATCTAAACTAATTGAGAATACCAAATTGGTTTGGTTTAATTGGGTTGTTCAATTTTTATTGGTTCAGGCTAAAATTGCTTTCGAACCAGCAACTTCTCCTATGTTTCTTTTCTTTTAAACCTATGTGGGATTTTTTCGTTTACTTCTCCTACGTGTTTACATATATGTATAAGAGATAGTTTCAAAATAAATTTATAGTACATGTGTATTTTCCAAAACACACATAGATGCAAAAACTAGTTAGAAAAAACACACACAACTGTAGTATAGAGAGAGAGAGAGAGAGATGAAGTTAGAGGTGGTGCACGGCAAGGAGACCCAAAAAGGCAGATTCGATGTGGAGAAAACTGCCCGGTGGCATGCCTAGGGCGGATTAGTTGGAGGTGGATGGTTGTGTAGAGGGAGTCGGAGGAGAAGGTGAGTATTAGTAAAAATTAAAATTATTTTATAAAATTTAAATATTATAAACACATTACATTAATTATAAATAATTTTAAAATATACTATTTATATAACACGCGGAGACAGGAATAAATCAATAAACATAATAACATAATTGTAAAGTTATCATATTTGTTTTGAATCTTCATTTAAGTACTGTTAGTTGTTTTGGTACGTGTGTGCGTGTGTATATATTTTTTCGTTCAAAGTGTATTAGGAGAGTATTAATAGCTTTGGCAATGAGATTGATGTTTGGAAAAGAATGTTGAGAAATATGTAACAAGAGGTTCCCCTGGTCTTGTAAATGGGAAGAGCCCACCCTTTTTTATTTTTATTATATACCAAATTTATGACTTGTGTGTCTTGGGATCATCTTCTGCTTTTATTTTTTTATTTTAGTTTCTCATCTCCTTGCCTCTGCCCCCTGCTTTGGACCTCTTTTAGATTGATTTATAAGGGTAATTATTAATTAAAATGTGAGATCAAAAATAAACTAGTAATAAGTTTAAGGCACTGATGAAAAGGATTATATAAACCCACATCCCCCACTCATTTCAAGTCAATATATATATATATTTACATTATGCGTGCTCTTTACTTCATTTTTCTTCTTTCTTTATGGTAAATCAATTTTGAAAAAGGACTGATAGTGAAATTCGTTAATTAATTATTTTAGATTATGTTTTAATTAATTAATTATTATTTTAACAAATCTGCTTAAGATTTTCCTTGTTTATTATGTACATGGCAGTGGCACCCCGTTTCTCTGATACAAAGAGGAAACAACGAGCTCCCCCTTGTCGGAAAGTATAATATAAATCAATTTAATTAATTAATTAAATTAATGCGCGTGGGTCCCACTTCTTGCCTTTCCCTAAATAACAGCCTACCGTACTGTTTGCAGTTGACGGCGATTTTTCTAACTTATCTCCTTTTCTATTCCTTCTATCTCTCATTCTTTTCAGTGTTTTTCTATGGGGCTCTCTGTTGACAGGACAATGCTCCACAGCAAAAAGGTTCAAAAACTACGCGTTCTCCCCATCACAAAACCCTAGCTACCTCACTTTCTTCCTCTCGTTCTCAACCCACGCACACTCTCTCTCTCTCTCTCTCTCTCCGCCTTTCTGAATCCGTACTCGCTCTCTGCCGTTTAGATCGTTGTTCCAGTCATGGACGACAGGGAGAGACCCGATCCAGGATCCAAGTACACCGCCGATTCCAGCTGGGGACTCGGGCTAACGGATTCCGACTCAGTCGACTACTTCATCGACTGCAGAGAGAGCACCATACTCGGCGAATTCGGTTGGAATCTGCACTTCGATGAGGAGAGCCGGTTCGCTGACCTTGACCGGATTGCAGTCGGCAGCAGATCCGATTCGGCGGCAAATCTCCATAGCAGCTTGTCGGAGAGTACTTGTGGCGATGGACCCTTGCTGCGGAGTTCTAGTAATGTCCCCTCTGATCCGAGCGGGTCTTGTTCTACCCCAGTTGCTGCCCTTGCTGACGTGTCTACCTCAAATCCTTCGGTATCTTCCAGCTCCAGCGAGGATCCGCCCGAGAAATCGACGGGCTCCGGCGGGAAACCGCCCGAGATACCGTGAGTGCTTTTCCGAAAAATGAGAAGAAAGAAATTTGGATTATGATATGGACTGAGTCGTAATTAAGAGCAAAACTACATGCTATTTTAATTTTTGTAGTATCTAACCCCAAAAGAAATTAAAAATCAATGCCTCTTTATTTTCTTTTGCAGCGCAGACAGTGCTGGTCGGTGTCCGTACGATCGCAGACACTAAACAGTACTGTCAAAACTTTCTGCTCATGCAAATTAGAAATGTTTTTGGGTGGTTTTGTAATATAAGAAAAAACGTAGGTTCAACGAAGAGAATTCAAAGAATTTGAGGGGTTGTTTTCTTCTATTGCAAAGAAGCCCTTAAACACCGCCGCTATTGCGGCGGTAATATTGTGCCTCCTTTTCTGAGCTCTTAAAATGTTCTTCCTGTCTATAATCTCCGGCTATCTTTTCTTTTTTTTTTTTTTTTTTTTACAAGTGCCAGATTTTCGTAAGTATAGAATTGAAAAAGCGAAAAATTTAGCGTAATAAAGAACCCCTTTGTTCCTTCACAAACCGCTTTTGAGCATCTCTCCGGATACTGATCACTTTGGAGATATTCTTTTCTTTTGATTTTATTTATGACCCATTTGTTGAAAAGGTAGTTTGTGTATGATCTTCATTCACTGCATACATTAATGAATTTTCCTTATTATATGATGGTAGGATCGAACTCGATATATTTCTGCAAGTTGCATTTACGTATCTTTCATGTTATACATTCTGTTGTATATACATGAGGGCCAACGTTCAATTTAGTGCTCTAGTTAACTTAAATAGAAAAATAGTGATAGTTTGTCATGATATATATGTATGTAATTAATTATTATAATACAACGAGCAACTACGACTTCTCCATTTCTTTTCTCTATTTGGCTTTTAGAGGAGATATTTTTATGATGGCTTTTCAATTTGACAAAAGGGTCTCCTCAGTTTCCTTTGAAGATGAATGAAATGACGTTAACTAGGTGAGCATTTGCAACATCTTATGCAATTATATAGAGTTCTCGAGCATTTATTATTAGTAAATACAATGACATTCATATTTCAAGGTGCTAAATTCGAGAATCACAGCTTTTCTTCTTCCCTTTTTAGATTTCTCAGAATATTTCCAGTGCCCAATTGGCTTGATATAAACTGGCTGGCAGATTAATTGGTCAATCCACGCAGCTTTTGGACCTTCAAACTACTTTCTGTGACCCTTAACCAGCTTTGTACCTTTCTGTTCGTTGTCATTAATTATTGGCACCGAAGTCTAATGCGGTGCTTTGCAATTTTGGCCTCATCGTTAGTTTACATTGCTTTTTTGAGCAAATTTCACTTCCTTGAGAAGAAATTTTACAATTAACTTTATAGTTAGATGTGTAGGTGATCTTTCCATTTTCTCAAAAGATGAATCTTATCTGGAAGCACTATCTAGTTTCTATTAGTTCTCTTTATTACATATAGTTTTGGAACATCAAGAAGTTCTTTAAATTTTTAGGTTGTTTTCATCTTTCATTTTGATGATTAATTGTTTTTGACAAATTTTAATTTGTAGGAATAAAGTCAGGAAGAAGGGACAAAAGCGAGTCCGGCAACCTCGTTTTGCATTTATGACTAAGAGTGAGGTGGATCACTTAGAGGATGGCTACCGATGGCGGAAATACGGACAAAAGGCTGTTAAAAATAGTCCATTCCCTAGGTCTGTTGCAAGTAATCTTTATAAAAATATTTAAGCAATCTAAACCTGTTGCCCACTTTTAAATTATTTAAAATTATGTTTGCAACATATAAAGAGTATTTTTGGAATTTATTTAGGAATATAGCCTTAAATTTAACTAGAGAGGGCGAAAAGATATTATCAGAAGATGATCAGGATAATTTTCTATGAAATTTAAGTGAATTAAAACAAAACATTAATCTGTTGAAAAACCTTCAGATTTGTTGTTTATTTCATTTACTTGCTTGAAGAGGTTTCAGTATTAAGTCTAACTTACTATCTTTGCTCTTTATTCTGGGAAGTGGTATGAACCAAATCCATTTATGCCCAAAGTTAATTGGGTAGGAATAGTGGTATCATTTGTTGTGAAACCATGCACGTTTAATCTGGAGTTAGGGAACTATTAAAATCAATTTATGTGTTGATATGCAAGCGTCCTCGGGTGGTATTGCCTTCAAAGACGTACTTATCATCTAAGTACTCTAGGCTATCTATTAAATTCTCTACCAGTTACTGCTATTTAAACTGATTTAGAAGCACGATTTAGCGGAGTAAATGTTTTTTTAAAGTAAATAATGCACAGTTTATTTACAGATATCAATCGTAATACCATATAAATAATTTATAAATAGTTGTTGGTTGGTGAAGTAAATGTCGAGGATGATAAATATATATATAAATGTTTTATACCCAGTTCGTGAAAGGATATATATTTTGTAAGAATATATTGGAAGCTGAAAACTTTCAATTAACATCTGTAATCTACCCACAAAATATCTTCAATGTCAATTTCCTTGTTATATGTACAGAAAAGGCGATTAAATGATTTGGTATATGAAGGCCAAGACTGAGGATTATATTTTTTTATATATGAGGAAACTATATATGCAGGTCTAACCCAATCTCTGTTGCAGGAGCTACTATCGCTGCACAAATAGCAAATGCAGTGTGAAGAAAAGGGTGGAACGCTCCTCTGAAGATCCAACAATCGTAATAACTACATACGAAGGCCAACACTGTCATCATACCGCCGGATTCCCTCGCAGTGGTATCATTACCCATGAGGCTAGCTATGCCGGAAGGCTAATGCCCGCAATTTCCCAATTTTGTTATCCCGGAATTCAATTGTCTCGGGACGCTCCACCTACTCAAAACTTGTCACGGTTGCACAGATTAGCTGGTGAAGCAGGAGAACCCCATATGCACTCGGAAACTTTCCCGCAGTTTCCAATTGATGAGGGGTTGCTAGGAGATATTGTGCCACCTGGGATGCGAAACATTTGACAAACAAATTATGAGGTACAGTTTCTCTTTACTTCAATTTATTTGGGTAATAATCGCTATACATCCAACAAAAATCCGGAGGAAATGAGAAAATATATATACTTTGTCTACCCATAGACAAAGTGGCCATTAACTGAACTAGACCTGATCTATTTCTACTTAATTTCTTTTCATTTTATCTGACAACCTTTCCTAGGCTAAACTTTTAGAAAGCGTAAAAAATTTTCTTTAAAATCACTTTTGGGTCTTTGGCAAATGAAATAGGAAAAACACATGCACTTGGATTGCTCGGCCATCAAATACTAGACTGACTTGGATCGAGCACACTTGCCTAGCTTCAAGCGTGCTGTACAGATATATAACCTCTAGGGCGCATGCAGTATTGATAGTTACCTAGTAATCTACTAGTTTGGTTCTGTTGCTGCTGGGTAGAGATGATGAGGTAATTATTTAACCTTTCTTGACTGATATAATAATTTTAGCCTACGAGTGTGTTTGGACCCACTGCGATTGTTCCAAATTCTTACCAGGCCTTCCACGGTTACAAAACCACCATGAAATACGTTTGAAATGTGTCTCGAGTGAACGGATATATGTACAATCATGTGCATAAGACCATGGATTTCAACCCATTTACGGATATGGTAGGCCAATGTCTTCTTTTGTGATTTATACTGCGTACTTGTTTCCATGGTGGCGTCATTACCAATGCACATATAGTTCTCATTGGCTGTGAACTTATCCGCTCTAGTGATATAGCTTGGGTACTAACTTATCTTTAGCTTTCCCCATTTAAATGAGACCTAGCGATCAACTTCTCCTCAAAAAGCTTTTCTACACAGTGATTTGATAGGCAGTGAAAGAGACTTGGAAGAACCGCCAGAATGATCTCTCTCATCACCGTTTTAAGAGGTTGATCCCCTTCATAACAAAATTATGTGTCGTACCAACCTCTATTATTTTCCTAATTTCAATTAATTTAGGTAGTTATATATAATTAATTATTTTAAAAGTCCCATCCTGAGTTTAAAAAATGGAACAGATTAGGTTCGTCTAGGCTGTGTGCATATCTATGAGAATCATTGGTTTCACATATTGGTGCCTTACCCTTCATTTATTTTGAGTGGACAATTTGCCTTTCCAAAGCTTCAGTCTTTATCAAATGGATTCCTGGATTTCTATGGTTCGTGTTGCTTAATATGACTTCTACAATCATATGGAAAATTTTAAAATAAATAATTAGTACCGTAGCAGAAGAATTCGGTGGTTTATAATTTAATAATTAGTATTAAATTCAATCACTTGAATATTTATTAAATCTAAAAATGGAAAGAACACTGAGAATTAGAAATTCCGAACTAATGGAGTCCATTCATGTGTTCACTTTTGAACCGTAAGAAAGAAACAATTAGGGATTTCAGGGAACCCAAGTGACTACTTTTTGATAGAGCTTTCACATTACACTAGGAAACACTACTTTGATATTGGTGAAGTAACTATTCATATTGCCCTCAGGTGCACTCAGAAGATTTGGTAATTCCAAGAAAAGGGAGGAAAATCATTGAGTCCATATATACTTTAGACAATAGAGCAATAGCTGTGCCGATCCATATATGTGAAGAGGCGCTAATGAACTTTACCACTCCACTATTTGTCGGTTCTAGGATTCTGGGTTTTATTCTTTGTTAGAACAAATACAGCCAATATTTTGTCTAAAAAAAAAGAGAAGAAAACAAAACAAAAATCGAAAAACAAACCAGCAAGTGCATGAATTGTGTGCCACCCCACGAGAAAGAATCTCTAAAAAGTAAGTCTTATATATAGAACATAACGCAGCCCGCCCTGGAATCAAATCACATATATCTCTGATGTGCAATCCAACTGTCTATATGCCTTTGGCTTTTGGTTTAGGTTCCTCGTTGTTATTTTCTTTTTCTTGTTTTTTTTCCTTCGGTGTACTTTAATTTGTGGATACTTTCTTGATCCCTCCCTAGTACTATTCATGCTAATTCTTGTCCTAAATTTGGTCTTGATTGTTTTCTCAAGGTCAGTATGTTACAGGTGATGCAGTCGATTATCAGATTGAAGCGAAAGCACTTGTTACTTAATTTAAAGGGCCGTACATCTGATGATCAGAAGGCAGAGAGCGATTTTCAAGCCGGAAATGCCATCTCCTTGATATTTACTGCAACTCATGATCATATTCATATATATGTATACCAGGTACTGCTCACATGAGCATACTCCCCCATGAATTGCTATATACACTCTCCAGCTACATTATATACACATATGTAATATTCATTACTTACCCGAATACTGGACATATAGCTTTCTTTCTAAGCATAGTATTATTTAAGTGTTATAGTAAATATTTTAGGCTTAATTTAGCGTATTGAAAATTAGGTTCATGTATGATGCATGTAAATAACCATTATTTTTTAATCAATTCCTCTTGTCAATTTTCATTGACAATTACTTTTGAGTAAGTGCGAGAAAAGAAGAGGATTTTGACTAGCAAAAGATCTAGTCCACTGCTTTTTGGTTGTTGGGGGGTCTCCCTGAATCTCATCACCCTTCTTCATGGTTTTGTACTTGACTGTGAAGTGCGCTCATCAGACAATTACTTATAAAAAAGAAAAGCACTTCATTGTGTGTTGGACCACTTGGTTGCTTCAGTTGCGTGGTTTTCAAAGTTGCTCCAGAGTTAGGCGGTCAGCCGACATTTCTTTTTTCTTTCTTTCTTTTTATTTTTTTACTGGCATCTTTTCACCTCTTTTATAACCACTTCTGATCCTTGAGGCAGTGGCACAGTCACACTTTTCTTTTCTGATTTTTTTTTTTTTTTCCTTTTTGCCTTCTTTTACCTTAGGGTTTTGTTGTGAATCTGACATGCATTTTTGTTCTTATTATTAACGTAGAACAGGGCGCATTAAGATATAACTGGTGGCTTTTATTAGTTTCACTAGCCTTGAAAGATACGTAAATTATCTAGGATACAATTTGAGGGTCATCATTGCAAGGTTGCATGAATATGTAGCACCGACTTGCAGGCAGCTGGTAAAAAAAGAAAGAAAGAAAGCATGCAATTTTAACTGCTTTTCTGATCAGATTTAAAATTTTAGTCCTGGAAAAGGGAAACAATAGAAAAGAAAAAGGATAAAAACTGAACCCTGTTGAGGACACATGAGAATCACGTAGAGAACACACAGTATCTTTCTGAAGTTATTGTGCAAAGATTTATCTGTCGATGTTTGATCCACGAACAGGCTTTTAGTAGCTAGTCCTTAATTTGGTTCTACTACCAACTCTAATTTGGGAAGCAACGGTCAAAGGAATCTAGCTAATAATTCAGGAGCATAATGATGATATACATCTCATGTTTAAAGTTGCCTTCATCTTCACCTTGACTCAAATAATTGAAATATGCGATGATGAGTTACTAAAATTTACTGCATATACCTACTTTGTTGATAAACTATTGGTGTGTTTTAACTCATATTAAAATAAATACTTGGATGCGTGCATAACCCTATTCATTAGGTAAACATAACAAATTATTTGACTTGTCAAATCTATCTTACTCGTTTGTTATATAAATACGTCCACTACACAGTACAATTACTTGTTTCATAAGAGTTATAGGTTTGAATTTGGTTTAGAGATTAAGAAGAATAAATCAATTTTGATATTACCTAGAAGCTTATATTTATCCATGTCGTACACACTGCATAATCTTCCATCTTTTGTTGTTTGAGCACATGGATGGTCTTTGAATCAGAAACAAATAGGAAATTGAGTGATTAACACGTTATATATTTTTGAATCCATTTTTATTTTTATTTTAATTTTCGTTTTAAATTAGATATATACATGTATATAAATAGGAGTGTAATTCATCGTATTTAACTTCTTTCCCATTAATAAATATAGTTAACTATCATAAAACCATAAAAACTCATATGAACATGATGATTCTTTTGCATGTCATAACACTCAACACGTCTTAATTCAATAATTTTTTTTAACTAATATTAAATATTCCTGGAAAAGATGCTGAAGAGATAAAAAATATTTCATTGAAGAGAAAAGAAAAAGAAGGCAGGAGAAGGGATACTAATGGCGGGCGTGAACGAAATGATTCCCTCTCCTTTTCCACTTGTGGTGTAGGTCATCAATGACCGTACACGTGTCCTAAATCAAATCTCCCACTACAACACCAGTGTGTCTCTGGACATATAAAGCTCCGCGTTATTCGCCGCTTTTCTCGGGCATCGATAACATTTGTCCCCAATCCTCCCTCGCCCATCTTTTTAACGTTTTCGTTTGGACCATTCCTCGGTGGCAGTTGGGCAGTTAGGTAGAATCAGTTACACGTCATTCCGCCAAAGTTTCAATTCAATGCGGTCCACCACACCCAAATTTATGTGGACTCTTCCTTGCTCGTTAATAACAACACCAAACAAAATGCTCTGTGTTGTGATAATAAATAAAGGAAATGGTATATTTTAAAATTAGAAAAATATATTCAACTTTAATTAAAAGTTAATATTTATTGCCAACAATAATAATCCGATATATATATATTTTTTTATAAGAGATTAAATAAAATTTTGGAAGATTTTAGCGGAAAATAAAGAATACTCAATCTGATGGCTTTACTTTTATCTTATTTGAAATAAGTTATATGTGTCACAAAACTAAAAAAATCTAAAAACTTAATAAAACCCAACATAACACTATAATAAAACTTAAGGATAGCTAGCGTCACACTTGTCTAATCAATGAATTAACTTGGTTCAAACTAAATATCTTAGAGTTAGGCCTTGGTGTATATCAAATGACATCAAAGGCTATCGATTTCTTCTTTTAGAAAGGTAACTCTTATGTTGAAATGAGTTTAAACAAATTTACGTATAATCAATAGTCATATAAAATTAACTAGCATTTTGTGTGATATTTTCATATTAAGTGTAACATAATTGTAAAGTGGTCCTTTTTTTTTTTTTTTTTTTTTTTAAGTAGGATCATTTCATAAATTTCAATTTTTTATAATAAAATTACAATAACTTAATTGCATCTTTTCAAAGAATATTATAACTCTTATACATGATATATGGAGATGGATGTCAAAATAACTTACCATATGAGTAGCAATACTCCCATTCTCATATATCCAATAAGAAACTTTAATAATACTCTCATTATCATCTATCCAATAAGAAACTTTGACTAGTTAAAGGATCTCTAAGAGCTATGTGCTTCTATAGAGGTTTGTTTATCGGTGTTTACAAATTTTTTCTTTTTATATATTATTATTAGGAAGAACTTATAAGTTATTTAGTATTTTAGTATTGAGTGGTAAGGAACTATATAATAACATGTTTGTAAACTGTCATGTTACTCAAATTTTCTGAATCAAAACACAATGATGGATTATAATTAGCAATTTTTAGTTAAGATTAGTGAACTATTAGTTTAAGTATTTGCTTCCTCAACAACAACCAACCTTTAAACGAAGTTACTTGCAAAAATATATATATATTGTTCCATGCCTTAATACTGATAGATATATTATACTTGTGGAGGAGTAAAGCCATCCATGAAAATTTACACATCAATCCTCAATAAGGTGTTTAAATTATTAAAGAAAACTCCAAGAGAGTTATAAGAATTTTTTTTTTTCTCTTAGATAGAAAAAGCAAAATGTTTGAAGCTGAAAAATAACATCCAAAATAAATTTCTTACTATGAAACCATTATATATTTCAAAATATTTATTTACAGTTATTTATGAAGATCATAAAATGATTCCCAATAAAAGCTATTGCAAAAAAAAAAAAAAATCCTCTCATGCAAAGTTGCAAGTTATTGATGACATTGTTATGTTTTCAGCCTAAAAAATTATTTTTGATCAAATTTATAGTGATTAACAATTAATAGTTGACTTTCTTAATAAATAAAATTGTTGGTGCTAACTAGTGTATTCAAGTGGTAGAAACATTAAAAAACATCTCATGAACTTAGCCTGTAAATGAATATACACTGAGTCAGTCTACTAATAGCAAAACAGGTAATGAACTACTCATTTAAAGAAAATTACTTCTAACGTATTAGATAAGATTTTTACATGTCTCTAAATAATTAATGTTTTTAGATAAGCAATATTATAATATACATTTGAATAAGAAGAAAACTGTGATAATTAGTATCCAAATTATATTATGACATATAGTAATTAATCAATAACAACTAAACAAATTCAAATCAATTTAATAATAGAAAGTTGTTTATATTTCTTTTTTTTTTTGGAGACTTTTATATATTTTATATAGAATTAAAACATCAATATTTGTTAGGAAGGCAAACAAGATTTAGAAAATGAAGGTTCAAATATCTTTCAATAAATCTAAAAATAATTTTTTTTTTATTTTTTCCAAATTCATGTTTTTTCTTTACTATCATTTTTCAAATGTTGTTTTTATTTTCAACAACTATATATATATATGTAGACAGTCCTCTA